TTATGAACCTTTAACTTGGTTATAATACTTCCATACGGTTGCAATGTGCCACTTGACCATTGCGCACCCACACACGTATCTCTCTAATACATACGTGAAAATGACAAAAGCCGGTCGTGAGATGAAATGCCTTCTCTCCTTCTAACCCCTTTCATTGTCAGTATAGGCAGCGTCTTAGGTCGGGGGACCTTTATGCCTATAACAATTTACCTGTCTGTAGATCTGTACCTGCCGCTTTACAGCAATGGTTCACATCATAGCAATAATAGTGCCGATAACCTAATGGCGTTGGAGAAGCGGTTGCGTGCACGGTAGGACTAGTTGAAGTTGCGATAGCTTCCGCTACCGCAGCGCGTTGTGCCTTATACTGCGATCGTTTTTGCTGCCTCGTCGTCGTCCGCAAAGTGGAGGCCAGCGCGGGTGGCTGATAGTCGTCAGACGCGTCTTTACCAGTACGCTCTGTCCTATCCACGCAGTCCTAACTGTAACCCCTGTACCACCCTCCGCCACTCCTCTAGTTACATAGCAAATTACCCTGAAAACAGGGATAGCTGTCCATTGATGTGTTACAAATGCGCTTGTCAATATCATCAGGAAGCCCCCTAGGCCGGTTAGTAACTTAGCAGAGCCAGCACTGCTGTCGTTGGGGCGGTGAGTGGATGGCTGAGTAACGCTTGTTGTCACTGGGCTGACCAATGAACCCATTCTGTTATTGCTCAACTGAAGCCCAATCAAAGTACCATACAGAGTTAAACGCGGCTGAGTCAATAGAATAACGTGACAATGAGTCATATATATATATACATAAACATATACGAAGCAAAACGTCGGATGATAGAAGAGATGGGAACAAATCGCCACTCGAAGCGAAACTGAAGCAAAACTGCCGGAAAGTTTTCTATCCAGCGATGTATCAGTATTATTGTTATTATTATCAGTGTTTGTTTAATCATGAAACACAAAGGTAATTAAGCTATGCATTGACAACCACACATATGTGGCTGTCAATATATATATATATATATATGTGTGTAGAAAAAGGCAGCAGGTGACAATCCAACAGGTGTGTAATATTACTTTTTTTTTTTTTTTTTTTATAATCAGTCACATTTTCGACACTACTGGTTAAAAACCTTTTACATTCAAGGGAAGAACTGCAATAAAAAAAACATTATCAGTAGTTATCAAGTAACTACTGATAATGTTACCAGTTATCAAGTAACTGGTATCTTACATTTTACATCAAAATATATTGATCGTAAAATTTTCTAATTCCGCTTATCAGAGTTAACGCAAAACAAGATTGACTCACTGACAATAACAACAAGCCTGAGTTGGCCTAACTGTTCGCGACCCCGTATCACATATATTGTTTGTTGGTTGATCGTACCCACTGACACCAGCCACTCTAACTAATGACTATTCTCTTATATTCGTTTGAAGTGTCTGCTATCCCTCTTTCCCATCTCTGCAATTTCACCCTCTCCACTCATTTCTTTCTCTGTCTGAGTTTACAGACAGTAATGCAAATACGCGTACACACGCACCACTGACTGATTATCCGCTACTATTATCGTCGGATCTCTATTAAACATATTTCATCCTTCAAGTTACAGCGTCCTCTACGCAAGCGACTACTGGAACTGCTGATTCCTTTGCCCTTCCATTTGTACTCGCATCACCTCGTTAGCTCTCTATTGCGAATCTGCTCGTACATGCGATAATAGCCTATTGTTGCGATGCTGATGAAGAGTTTATCATTATCATGATTGTGGAGCTCTTGAGTTCGTGGCGTCGTTGCTGTCCTAGACGAAACGCCGGGAACCAATGAGCCTAAACGTTTTTCGCGTTCTACGGACAACCCTTAATGAACCGTTAGGCATTACTTCGCTGGACAAGTTCGCCCCAATGCGAAGCAGAACGTATCCGCGCTCAGATTCAAGCCAGTGGATTATTTCATTTAGTGCATACATACAACGCGTTATCCACTGAACTGGACTAGAAATGTCACAGCCATGGAAACATGGCATGGTCGTTGAGCTGACGACGAAGCAGGTCTTGAAGGCGACGCCAACTGGCTTGTAGGCAATAAGTCTTTGAATTTTCCTACTTTTTCCTTATAACGTTTGCCTTCTCTCTGAGCTAAGACCTTGCAGGTCACTCTGAAACCGAACCATTCCTTCTTTTGAAGAGCTCTCATATCAGCTCGACATTAAAACAGAAAGGAATTCGCTTGCTCATTGTATAGCCTCTATAGCTCTTTCTCGTTCGCGCTCTAACCTTTTTGTCTCCTTCATTTATTCGGCAGGTTCTTTCTTTATCTTAGATCAAGCCCACCACATGAGTTCTATCACACCAAAGGTAGTAGCAGGAATCGCATTCGTACTAAAACCCTCTCAGAGGCTAGCTCAGTCTTATGACAGCGACTCTGCTGGCTATTACCTGCACCAACCATTGACTTCTTTCAAAGAAAAAGCCTCTGTCCACGACTAGTGCCGATAGTAACGTCACTTCCATCGTCACTATCACCACTAGCGGCCCTGGCAGGCAGAAAGAGACTGTGCGCCGCCGTGACTACTACCTACTGCAAGAGACTGCCTGCGGGCGTAGAGAGCGAGCTTCTGTGAGGATGCAGAACCCAGACAGATGTCTTCGGAGGCCCCAATGTTCACCCACTATGTAATAGGTTCGTAGTATCACGACCTTTGGTAGCATGGTGTCTACCGAGGCTGTATCGGCCAGCAAATAGACAGAACGATTCACACACTCACACCCACAGAGAATGGGAAAGAGCGAGCAAAGCAAAAGAAAGGCCAAGGCTCTCATCAATGGAACCACTGCTACAGGCAAGTAACTAATAACAGCACAAAAAAGCTGCGAAGCAATCTAGTCCAAGGATAATCTGTAGAAGCAAAACGGAAGTCAAGAAAATGCTCCATTGACAAAACGACTCGAATTCTGCCTAGCGCTGATTGAATGAGCATTGCATTAGTCCCACCCGTCCGCAGGTTTATTACAGGCTGCAGCGACTGCGAACCTCTGGCGAACTCAGCCGATCTGCAAAGAGCGGGCCACCGCAAACCACGTAACTTCTAAGCAGCATTCCCGTATCTCTTTACGCACCTACAGCGTCCTACTCTAATTCGCACTGGCAAAACCAGTGCCTGGCCGACTACGGCCAGCTCTATGAGACCTAGTTGTTCGAAAGTAGGCGACGCCAGTGCTCGTATCCAAGCTGTCAAGAAGAAGAACAACAACCCTAATAGTACAATTTCCACCAGCGTTGATACGCGTCTGGATATATCGCGTATACGCTGCAGATCAACGACAACGACGACAATAACATAGTGCATGTGTACATGAGACAGATGCATCCCGTCGTTACAATGCAACAGGCAGCACTTAACGCAGGTACAGCAGTACCTCACTGTCCAGGTAACAACAAGGGCTGTGGGAAACTACGGAATTGACGACTGGTTAGTGGCAGTGTGAACTATTGTTACACAAACAGACAAGGGGGCGACGGTGAAAGGCAATGGAGAGCAATGTATTTGAGGACAGTTACAAACAGCGACAACTCAGACAAACATAGATACATCCCACGACAAAGCTGCTTTTCGATTTGGGGCGGCAAACAAGCGCGAAGAGATAGGTGCATAACTGTATGGTAATGATAATTACGATAATAGTAACGTGAGTATTATCAGTTTTTGTTTAAGCTTGTAATCACAGTAAACGTACTCTCTACCTGTACGCTGTACTCGGAGCGACGAACCTAGTATCATTCAAAGCCGAAAAGGAAACTGACGTGCGATACGTACATTATATATATATATATACACATGGTGCAGTCTATTCACCGAACGACCACAACAGGACATTGTATTAGGACGTTGTATAATAATAGGTGTAATAATTAGGACAATTACGACGTTGTATCTGTGTCAGCATGACACAGATACAACGTCCTAATTATAAAAACATTCCGAGGTCCGTTCGATAGGATAGGTAGCAAAAAAACATAGGATTATGCAGCAGCATCATAGTCATCCGTTGCCACGCGGCCGTCAGATATGCTATTAGTTCTGCATTTGTTTGGGATAATATTACAATTACCATGGCAAGCGTCTGCGTTTGCTGCTGTTTGTTACTCGGTGGCGACGGCAACAGCTGACAATCTTTTGCTATTCGATAGCTACAAATGAGCTAATCACGAAACTTTCGAAGACGTTGAAAAATCACCATGTTTTCGTTTGAAGCGCCTTGTTTCTTCTTGTATTTCTCTATGGCTGAATCTTCACATGGTGAGCATAAGCGGCAACCAGTCCAAATCAAGCCACAGAATCGATACCGCACTGTATTTCCGTCAAATACTGTCACCCGAAACGGGAACGTGCGATCACGACACGTTGAAAGAGAACAAGAACAAACGTCTCTCATCTTTTGGTCGGAATGAGCTGGAAGTGGCAAAACCAATAAAAGTCAGCCAAGGCATCATGGCTTCTAACCAATAACAGTAGTAGCCAGCAGAAACGTGTCGACTTACAAGACCCTCAGCTGCCTCTCTCTCGTCCACCCAACGACAGACAACCAAATCGTATCGAATAGAACCCAACAAAACTATTGGCCGTTCTTTGCCCAGTTGTTTCTTTGATCCTCCCTGACGGTTTCGTAACACGTACACGTCCGCCGGACAAAATGGAAAAAGTCGCCCGTGTATCGTTGTTATTTATACAAAATAATTCACTACTCAGTTGTCATGAACACTACATAGCATTGTGCGGTACTCTCCCTATATTCACTGTTCGTTTAACTAACCGGTTCAGTGATCAATGGCGACAGCTTTTGATAATTTCGTATCGTATTCATACACATTCGTATATTTTCCCCGTATCGCATTATTCTCGTGGTAAATAGACCTGGCCAGTATTTTGGACGATCCGAATGCGTTACCCACCTGCGCTAGTGGAAATTAACAACGTATCATTTAGCGTACTTACATAATGCACTCGTTCCATCCATTGTGGACCAAACGGAAGTTTGTTGAATCGATGTGTCGGGGCACCTGCACATGAAGCCTCCTGTCTTGCCGCCGCCGCCGCCGCTGCTGCTGCTGCTGCTGCTGCTGCTACTGCATCACCAACCGGAGCTCGCACGCGGTTCAAGTTCAGTTACAATTAACTTTTTCCCCAGGATAACTTCCACCAAGAGACAACATCTCAACGTAAAAATTAGTAGAGAAAATGAATTCCTAAGGACGTTCTCTTGAAAGTAGAAACTCAATCGGAGATTCTGCTTCGCCAGTGGCTAGTCACTGTCGTCGTGGGCTACTAGTTGTGGCAGATCAGGCACACTGATCAGCAATCCCTGTGTTATGATTTCGCGTTCCGTTTGTTCACGATGTGTTTCGTTTTGTAGCTCCTTAGTTTTCTTGTATTCGTCTATCCGCAAGGAATACGGACTATTAGAACTTCTCGGGTACTACAGCACGACTATTGCGCCGTACCATGTTAATATCCAAAGAAAAAGGCCAAACGAACTGGCGAAAATAAAATCAAAATCAAAGTCTAACTCTCATCAGATTTTACAGTAGTAGATCCTTATTTCCCCGGAGCAACGATACTGCTCCGAAAGGGCACACTTTGACGAGGACACTCCGTTCCACTGTACTCCACACCGGAGCTCCACGAGAACAACTGCTCCCGCAGCACCCCTCTGTTGCTCAGCATCCAGCACGATGACAAGGACTGAAAACTTCGACGATTTAATAACAACACTAACAACGATCCGCTCGCTGGCGTGCTCTTAAACCAACAGGCATCCAGCTACCCAGCCAGCCAGCCCACATTCCTCCTCGGTAGTAGAAGTAGAATTTCCTCCTCGGTTCTTATCTCGTAATAACAGATCGTAGCTCTGTCACCCGCGAACGTGTCACCGAAAGGTTGTCATCATCGGTTAACTGGGGTTCGACAATCTGCCATACGACCTCGCCAACATTGATGGCCGTCTCATCAATAAATGTTTCCTTTCCGAGCGAAGGAAAAAACGCAGTCTACCACGGTTCGTTCATCCGCTACTTTCACCCTGCTACGGAACTACTGTTGGCCGTCATAGCCACTTCTTATCATAGGTCCCGATACCTAGACATTATAGACGATGAGGGTATGTTGTATTCCTCTCAACAGCACCTCGAAAAGCGGAAGCGAAGCACACGGACTAAATGTGAGGGGTAGTTTGGTCGCGGGAAAATTTGAAAAGCTTTCAACTATGACAGCCAACGCTGAGCCCAGTATATGAACCTTGGGAATAGCTGATTCGACGTTATGTACGAAACCGGCTCACAAGCACACAATACACTAATCGATCTGGAGATTGCGAATATGTTTTTCAAAACGTGACAACTTAATGGTGAAATCTTATCCCGGAAGGACTTAGCCTGGTGGCTTGTAATGCGGTTATGGTGGAACAGCTGAAAATTGATGTGTTCGGCACTTTAAAATATTCTTTATGACATAATAATACATAAATATTTTTTGTGAGTTGTCCATTAAAATATGTATAAACAGCTAGTTTGTCTGTTGACAAAGAGAAAAAGAAGTGCTTTTTTGTTCGTTTTCGCTGAAAAGCATTTGAACTTGTTTTATAGGCTCATTTTGAAAATTGGCGCCACGTTGTACCGCCCACCTAAAGGGTCCCCGATCGATGTGGCCTCAGAATACGGCCGCTCGAAAAATCATCGTCGAGATTCTTTTCGTATGCGGTGTTAAGCGTGCCAAATGAGGTAAAAGCGAAATCTGTGGATTTTCACAAATTTCATCCATATATAATGTGATTTTTGGGTGTGACGCGACATTAATAAGGTCAGTCCGTTGATACGGATCTGGTGAATTCTTGAGGATTTTGTGATGTTTATACGACTTTCCGATTAGCGGCAGACGGGCACTGGTCGTTCAACCCCATAACCCCGTGGTGCACCCGTACAATGTGTTGTTAGGGCAAATCCAAACGACAGCGCTGGCGTTGGCCGATCACTTCACAACAGCAAAGAGAAGTCCGTTGTTCGTTTTCGTTTTAGCCGGTAGGGGTGGTCACATTGCCCCACTTCGAATGTAGTTAAATCTCGTCTCAGGATGGCGTAATGTGCGAAATTTCACCTACTTTGCACCCGAGTGGGCTAAATGGAGGGTTGCGCAATGAACGTAGCTCCCCCACCACGTGGCCGCTGCTAGAGATTTTGATATTATGACCAACAACGCCGGTTTTCTCGAGTAAACACTTCTGAAACTAGTGGAGAACAAACACGCAGTTTAAGTGAGCTGCCCGGATGTTGGTGTCCGGTGCCAAGCTACAGGATACCTCGAGTTGCTGTTTAATGATACGGTCGCTATGTTATAGACTACATCAGGGCCGTCACATTCGCATAAATCCGGTGCCAAACAATGCTCACAGTATCAGCAGTAGACCTGAAGTGTCTTTGCGACCGCGTGTACCTACTTGTCAACCAGTTACTGTAGCAGTGCAACATAAGCTTAAGACACAAGCGGAATCTATAGAAAGAAAACCTGTCGCATGCGCGTACACTTAAGTGACAGCTGCAATCGTTGTAAACGCAAATATTAGCCGTAATTTTTCGATAGTCGTCATTTGCTTAATGTTTTTATGTTTGTTTTGTCTTTCCTCGTTTGAATCTCCGTCAATTTATACCTTTCTAGCATCCTTCGCCTTCAAAAGCGTTTGGCAGCTGCCGTACTAAAATGCGGCCGCAACAAAGTATGGCTGGACCCGAACGAAACGTCGGAAATTGCGAACGCCAACTCGCGCGCCACTATCCGTAAACTCTATAGGAACGGTATCATCATCCGAAAACCCGTGAAGATTCACTCGCGCTTCAGGTGCCGACGCAATGCTGAGGCTCGCAGGAAGGTGCGGATAGACGTTTTCCTTATTCTATCTCTAATCGGCCTATGCATTTACATGGTCGTTTTTGTTCGATTAATTAGAAACAATTAGTATTTTTAATAATGGACACATGAGGTGGCCTAGGTGTCATAGAATGGCTAACGGCCATATCGCATGTAAAACTCGAAACATTTACTTATTGCAATAGTAGTATGAAGAGTGTTTTATAAACGTATTTGGATATTTATCTAATCGAGGTGGAGATATGAGAGATAGTTCTGCTTCGATGTTGTTTAATAGAAGGTGTACATAAACTATAATAGTGTGAACAACATCAAGTAATGAACTGAACTAATCTAATTAACGGGGAGAAAAGACGATTGGCCACTTTCCATTTTATTCGGGGTAGTCATGCTTACGCCTCGTAACACATGAAACACGTCGGACGTATGATATATAATTAAGGTCCCCTATTATTTAGAATTTTAATATTTGAAAAAGATGTCAACAAAACCTAATTGCTCCATGTGTGGGATGTAGATCAATTTTTATAATTATGTGTTCATGGTCTATAAGCATTTTGGTGGTTCAGCCGTTGTCAAGCAAATCTACTTTCTCTAGAACAAAAACGTATGTTCTACGCAAGAGTAGATTCGCTTTTTTCACTTCTTTTTTTATGCTAAAAAACGCGTCGGCAATTTTTCTGTGCACACAAGCCACGAGGCACTCACGTCTTCCTTGACTGGGACACGTTCAGAAAACAGTACCATTTGCTTGGTAACGGCTAACCAGTAATATATTACTTATTCTTACTATGCAGCAAATAACTTAATAATAAGTTATACTGATTTTTAATTAGTGGCAAGTCTGTATAATATAAAATACAAAAATATAAAAAAAAATAATATAAAATAGAAAAAATGGTTTTGGACTCCTTAACTAACAATACCATATTAACTACTTACCGAAGAGTTTATAAATAATAGAACTGTATCCCGTTATTTTGTTGTTTCGCGGAAAATTTTTAGGGACGTCATTGCGGCATTGGTAAGAGGAAAGGTACGCGAAATGCCCGCATGCCGACTAAACTTTTATGGATGAAGCGTCAACGCGTCCTGCGTCGTCTGCTCCGAAAGTACCGAGAGGCTAATAAGATCGACAAGCATCTATACCGTGAACTCTACCTGAAATCCAAGGGTAACGTATTCAAGAATAAGCGCGTTCTTATGGAATACATCCACCGTAAAAAGGCCGAAAAGGCCCGTACGAAGCAACTTAACGACCAGGCTGAGGCTCGCCGTCTCAAGACAAAGGAGTCCCGCGCTCGTCGGGAGCAGCGGCAACTTCTAAAGAAACAGGACCTCGGAGCCGGAGACAAGGAGCGAGCGGTTCAGCAGGTCGGAGTCGATAAGAAATAGAAAGAAAAGATTGAAAAGCAAACTCAAGAGTTTGGAATGAAAAAAAAAAGCGCGCTGCTGCCAACGACACACATGATGGACGTGTCGAGGTTAGAAAAACAAATAAGAACGAACACGGGTCTATATGTGCGTGAGTGTCCCGTTGAAGGAGGAGTAGCAGTGGGCGGAAATGTTGAATGTGAGACGTTGTCAATAAAGCGGTCCAGTGCAAACAAATGGAGTAGTTATTGTTTGGTAAGATGTTTATTTTGTATACGAACATTGTTCATTGTGGATAATGGGTGCAATGTAATATAAAAAAAATTCGTTGAAAGTGACAAAAATATAATTACTTTGAATGCTTATATACAGTAGAGGACAGACGTGAAATAGGGTTCAAAATGTTCAAGTGACCAAAACTACGATAGTTTTGAATGGACATTATAGTTAAACAATCTAAACGCTTGAAATGTTTGGAGGACCTAGGGAGGCAGACAGGCAAAAAAAAATATTCTGGATGGCGAAGTGATGCGCTACTGTTTCCGAAATCGAAATCTCCACTTTGAGGTCTCTGCTAATTCCTAGGAATAAATATATTTTTTACTAGCATAGAAAATTTTAATCTAAAGCCAGTTCTTTTGCAAATGTCATGTTTGACATGTAGCAAACGATTTTTCTCTGAAATCTCGCCTACTCACCCAAGAAAAGCCTGTCATCTGCAGTACTAAGAACATATTCTTGAATGATCGTATATTGGCTTCGATGGCTATGCCGTATAAACTGTCTGTATATAGCGAGAAATGGCATCTTAACCTATATACAGACTACGTATCTCAAGTATAAGATAATATAATAGTTTAAGTCATTATGCGATTAAACAATGTTTATGCCTTAATCAGAATCAGGTTTCAGCATTGATTGCTCCAATACATTTGTGTTGATTCTTTTGCATTCCTTGCAATTGTCGTCATTTCTACGGCGAGCGACGGGTCTTTACTGTAAATAAAATCTGTCAGAAAATGTCAAATGCACATAGCATATCTGCCATTTGTGAAAAGAAACCAGTTGTAACCCATATACATGAATTTCTTACTCGACAAGTACGGATAGTACGATTTTACAGCCTAAGTATTTCATCTTTGTCTTTGGTAGATTCGGCTCCTGTGTGCTGCCCAATCTTGCTTTCGCCGTCAGCTGACGCAATTCTTGCAAATCTACTGTGGTTGTTATAACTTCAATGAAGACTGGTTGGAGTAACTTCAGTATGGAAAGATAAATCCACCTTGGTATCTGTATTCACACACCAGTTTTATCGATTTCGTCTATACACTGTCCTATTTTTAACATCCGTTTTGACTTAACACTAACCTGAATTTATATCCTAATGCTTTGCTATATATATAGCGGCAGCGTATTCAGTACGTACAGGCAACTGCACGACTTACTATATATAATGCGGTTTTATGTGTATATTTAAGTGGATGTTTTAATAAAGCCTATATACCAGTTAGAGTGTACAATGGAAAATTTTACAATACGCACATACTGAACTCCATCAACTAAAGAGAAATTTTCCGATATCTTAAAACTCATACATTTCAAATGTTAGCGAAAATGACAAATAAGGTATTGAATTAACTTTTTTGACGTGCTATTTCAGTTTTTATACTAATCAAACCCAAAAGTATACGTTTTGGAGTAACTAAACGTAAGCGGAAGCGCCCAAAATTTTTCGCAGGGTTTTCGCTATGCAAGATGAGTTTTATCAGTGATAGCAACTGAAAAAAGACTTCCAAGAAAATTGCCACCATCGCTGTTGTGAATACTCATAATATTCTTAATGTAAACTTGAAGTAGCGAATTCCAGCCACTCAACTGAAGTAATTACTGGGAACCTACTAGGCTATGTCGGAAAAACCCAGTTATCTAAATATTTCGAGCTCTAAGTCCGGTGCCGCATGTTGTTTCAAACGAACAACAGATCACCGGGATATGAGCACACCAATTTCAAACAACTGTCTTAACCTTTGCATAAGGCACAATCTTCCATCCAGTCGACCATGGTAATAAACACTTATGATTCCTCTACACCACGGACAACAATCTTCGACAACGCGAAAAACATTTTTGAATGCGCTTTATATTGTTTCTTCATGAAAGTCTTTCTAATGTCCCAAATAATTTTTAAATAACAAAGTCAGTGGAAGTGTATAAATTGAGGTAAGTAAATCTTTTACGTGAGAGGGCAGAGGTCAAATTAAGAGAAGTATAGCGTGATAATATCGTCGTTGACCAACTCAACATTTCTTAACCATTTGAAGGCTGTATAAAGTGCATGGGTAGTTAGAACCGTATGAATAAAATTTACTGAACTAAAAGCAACACCAGTGAACAGCTACCAACAGAAAGTTAATTACTTCGTATTTTTTTCTGTGTTCTCTGTTGCTCGCCTTCCAGTCATTCGTTTTGCTGGTGAAAAACAACGAAGTACACAGGAAATGCTCCAAGTGAACGAAATTTATTAGAAGAGGTCATATAGATTAGAAAACTATTTTGCGAAACAGGATTTCAATACTTACCAGACCCTTTTGTGTTGTACAATCTCGTTCTTACGATAGGCTGAATACATGATGCGAGTACATAGTGCCGTTCTACGTGTTCTGATCATCGAGATGTTGTCAAATTGATAAATAACGACTCAAGAAGACATATCTAGTGTTGATTCATTCTTTAGCGCGTTCGTGTTGGTTACAATGCATCCATTAAGGGGCAATTTAATAATGTTTTTTCGGTTTCCTGAGCTGTTTTTTCATTATGAATTAAGCGGACCTAGTGTCCACCTTATAATGTACCTATAGCGTTGATTTAACAAGCTACTGGCATCTATCGAGCCACCCAAATACCAACATTTTTGACGATAAGAGACCGATCTACATCGATAGACTTATAAAGACTGCATGTCTACTACAAGCGCGGGCAGGAGTAACGTGGAAAATCTTAAGGGCTTTTTGTTGTTTCACGAGGTAAAAATATATCAGGTGTATATAAAAATAAATAGAACGCTATGTATTATTTTTATTATTACACGACCGTCCTAGTATTCATTTTTATAGTAAATAAAAAAGCTGAAATTGTATTGATGCAGTTAAGTATTACTGGTTTTATTATCACCATGTAAAACCGAGCAAATTATTTACTGTTACAACATACTGAGAAAGAAACTCCTTTGGGAGCTCGCATGTTTGCCTTATCAGTACATGAATTACATTTTTTAAATACAGCACAACTAGCAAACTCAAGGGACAAGTTATGATATGTTCAATATAAATCCGATAATAATGGCGTCAGCAAAGCAACTTCTATCAGCTCCTATGTTTAGACACTAACTCTTTCTCCAATTTTTTCATTTAACCAGCAATTTAATTCTATTGTCATCGTTTCTACGCTTCGATGAGCTTCGCACGCGTGACTAGGCGTCGTAAAAGTCACCCAGAGGCTGTACTATAGTCACACTAACTTAAGGGTCACTCTGTAAAATTACCCCTTCTTTAGATAGTGAGTTGGTACCTAATCTGTTGTTGTCTAGTCATTTTCAATTTGCTAATGACAGACTACTCGACCAGACTACTCGACTATGCTGTATTTTTTAGCAAGATTTTATAAGAATCTTTTTTCGTTAGGGGCTACGAGAAGCTTAACTGGAACAATAACCTTAGGATGATGTCCTTTAAGACATGTTTTCGATACAACAAATAAAATTATACAACATTACTACTTCTTCCGTTCTCCAGCTTAACTGTCTTAAATAAGCATCATTATTATGTGTAATATTTGTGGTACATCATGCTTCGCGTTTTATTTTTGTGTACTTTTTACGTTCTGTTGGATGATAAGCTTGGAAAACCATAATGTGTCAACTATGGGATAAAGAATGCTTGTTATGTGGCCTATAAAATGGATAACACCATAACACGGTTGCACCACTTTAGACTATGCCATTCCTCTGTGGGCCGGTGGAATTCAGCTATCAGACGCCCGCAAGAATTTTCACTTCTTTAGGGTTTATATAATAATAGGGTTTATATAATAATAGTAGAACCTAATACTTATATTTGAAGTTGACCTTAAGAAGATATTTGATCTGGACTTGTGCGACATCATAAACGACGTATTCGTTATACAGCAGGGAGGTCTTATTTGACGATTTCTTTGTGGGTCCCATCGGAACCACAACTCCATCGAGCATCTCTTCTTCTTGCGGCTCTGTCATTCCTATGCCCTTGGTGGAATGCTTTTTGTCGGGCAGTTTGGTGATGTATTCGGCCTGCGTGCACTCGTACATGGCTCCCAAGGCCACTTCGCATAAAAGCAGAATGCCCATCGGGTTGGACGGCGATGTACAACAATAGTTAGCTGATTTTGATACCATATCAGCGAAATAAATACCCTTTCCGAACATGTATCCCGTAACGGGTGCTTCCGGAGGCGCAATGCGCAGGCCCTGTGATAGGATACCGGCAAAGTTGCTCAATCGGGAGCCATGCCACAGAAGACGGCGGTTTTGAAGCCGCTTGAAAGGCTTGTATCGCTGGGCCTCACCTTGACGTGCAACAGTAAACACATCCATAATTTCAAGCTCGTAGGAGGAATGGGTGGTGGCATGTGTCGTGCTTACATACCTGCATTATTATTACATACAAAACAAACATTATGGCAAGTTATTATACGACACATTAGGTTTCATTATTATCAGTACTATTATTGCGTGTTAATAATCTCAGACTATATCGTAAAAACATTTTTGCTTGATGTTCTAAAAAAAGTTCTATTCTTCCACAATTCGCCTAATACAATACACAACTGTTAAAACTATATCAAAATATTATACTTCTGAAGTAGACCGAAGACAGGAGCATTTCTCGAAACAACGTCTATTTCGGTCTTTAGCTGTGCATAGTGGTGATCCACCGGGATCTGGGTTTTGTCCTCCTGTTTTAGCATCTTCATCGTGAGCTCCATTTCGCCAAGGGAGTCCAACATACTGATTTTATCCTGGAGATAATCAGATTGAATAGAAAAACGTAAGACGTGAAAACAGAGACATAGCTTTATAGCTTAATGAAAGTATGATATTGTCTTCTGTTGAACCTATGCTGGTTATAAAATCCAGAATGTAATATAATACATACAAATAGACGTAACATTAAAAAGCTAGTGGAAGTATAACTGTTTATTTATAAGCAAAAGCCGTACTACGCCCGATGAATACTAGATAACAACGAGCCTAGTAGACCATATTAAAGACCGTGAGCGGTGGTATAGAGTTTCGAAAGCCCGTCTAAGCACTTAGACGGACCCAAGTAAGCATAGTTAAACTACAACAAATATTTTTGAAATATATACATACATGTTTCAAGACAGGAGGTGAGCAAAGAGCGTACACAACAGGTGGACATACACCGAGAAAAAATAGGTTTACGCTACTACCAGAGTGGAAATATTGTTTACGAAGCACCTGTTTCAATGATTAACCTCTACCCACATTTTTTACACCCTTATCTCTGCTTATACTCTTATCTATGTAGACTACTCTCGTACCTTGATTGAATCAACGTTGTCAAGAAGTGGTGGCGCATTCATACCGAAGTCGTGTGGAATGATTGTGAAGAAACGATTCGAGGCGTCGAGAAACTGCAGCCGGGACCCCTTCTTGTCGATAAGCTCCTGAAGCTCATTGAGAACCTTATATGCTTTTGATATTTGGTCTATTGAAATTTTACCCAGAGGCAATTTCTGTAGGTCGATTTCGAACTCTTTCATTTGTTGATTAAGTAGATTTACATCGAAGATTAGACAGATGAGCTCTTGGACGGGAAGAGGAAGCTTTGAGTCCGAGTTCGTGGCGAGTATCTGTAAAAGCCATGCACAAAAAGACAAACATTATCCAAGTTTACTTTCGTGTTTGAAATATTTGTCTGCTTTTCTGCAGGTTAGATTACACCATTGGTTCTGAATTAGCGCATAACTGCCTAAAGAAACTTCCTAAACATTCCTGTGTGGTCCTCGTACATTAAATTAAAGAATAAGATATCATTAAAACTATTTAGGAAAATTTTAGAAGTGCATTTTTCGTATTGCTACAAAATATTTACATTATACAAACCCTAGTATCATCATAAAAGTGTAGTATGTAAGGCATATTAGCAAAATTTCTTCGCAACGCTGTATATTGGCTGTGTGTGACTGTAAGAGGCCAAACTTGAAGCCGCTTCTTATCCACAAAAACGAGGATGTTTAGCGTCTATTGCTCCTAGCTAAGCTTTAAATTTAATGAGCATAGTTAAGGCTACGGGACACTTAAGTTGTTTTTCTTGTTTATGTTATGCAGATTGATACACACTGATTATCATACATTCATTACATACATATAAGAATTTATCCAGGCTTATAATAGCTTTGCCTTATACAAACAGACTAATGGAAATCATATCGAAACAAATCACAGAAAACGAACCTGTTTGGTACATAGTGCCGCATCATGATCCTGCATGTAATCGATTTCAATGATATTGAAGAGCTTCGGTTTTTTTTCGAAGTTTTTACGGTTTTCCCACTCGTTGCCGGTCTTTTCGAGAAACAGTCCCTTGAAGTCGAGCATGGCATCTTGTAGCGTCGAATGTTCCTCCAGCTTGTTTCCACCTGTACGTCATTATGCATGGGAAAGTCAAATAAATACAAGATTCACGTCGAGCAAGTTGAACAGATGATCATAATTTACGCGACTCACTTTGCTCTATATGTGCAAACTAATTTGCCTGCAGTGAACGCGTTACTAAAGGCGGAGCTTAAGAGTAGAAGTTTGTTAGCAATACTCACCGATCGTTGTTCCAATACGTCCCCAAGCACGAAAGACAAAATATGTCCCACGGGACTCAAGCAGCTGAATCTTGTAATAAGAGTTGGTACCACGGGCTACATCGGCGTGTCCCAGTACGCATGAGTACACGTCTTTGCCCCGCTGATAAACCCTAAAATAGTAATTAATAATCCGTAATCATTATAAACCACTAAACAGGTCAGTCAACAGTAACAGACTAGCGAATAAGCAGGCATTCCACAAAACACAGGAAGTATACTAGGACTGCCATTGTGACATCGACCATTACCTACGCTATCCTTGTCTAGTTCTGACCGTAAATACTCTAAAGTACTACAATAATAGTGAGTCAAGAAGATTTGCCCCAGTCTTGTTTCTCAGTATCTGTCGCCTAAATTAGAAACAATGCCAAAGTCGGTGTCACTCCATTCACTCAAATATAGAAGCGCAGTCGCAGCAATGGATAAGTCGTACTTACTTGGCAACGCCATCAAGACCTGAATCAGGTTCCACTGCAGCTAATCCATTCATCTTCACTCGCATAGTCGTCTCACTATCATTCTTCACGAAGACTGACTTGCCAGATTTCTGACTTTCTTTAGCGGCGTCTGCGCTTGCCTGTTCTAACCTCTGGGCAACAACTGCCTGCACAAGAGGACGGAAAGAACAAGCATATTAGGACGTTCGCTGCCATTTGTAATCCATTTGTAATCCACTGTTAATAGTATATATATATATATATATATGTACCTCTAATACTTTTTATAATATATACACTTAATATCAAGGTTCAAGCGGTAAAATAAAAAGGATGGAAGAGTAGAGGAGCGTCGCCTATTTAGTGTGTACTATTGAGGTATATCCGATTCAAATGGAAATCATGTAGATGAATTGATGCAAACATGGACAGACATTCATCGCATTCACATAAATAGAACACTAATGAAAATGCACAAACTTGTGTATAAAAGATGCAAGCAGTATTTATAAGTCGGTCCACTGTGCTCTACAGCTTACTTACGTCATCGCCCCAGTCTGCGAGTTTGTGCGCATTAATCTCGACTTTTCCCTTGCGGCACTTCTCCAAGAAGTCTTCAGACACGACAGGGACATTGTCTATTTGAGCACTCTTGATCTTTGGGGTCATCTTATTAACGTTCTCTGTTGATGTTCACATAAAAAAGAAGAGACAAATGTTTAATTGTATAATTGATTCATTACTATGTTGGAAGTTAAACAATTCGCATGAAAAGCAGTTTCTCTGTTATACCTTTATCGCACAACTAGTTGGCGCATAAAATCGTTTTATATAAAAAAAACATACTCAATACATGACACAATACATGTTCTTTCAATAGGAACGTGGCTGCATTAATTGCATATCCACATAAACAATTTAAATTTTAGGAAATTTTTTACGTCTTTCGCGCAAAGACTTAGGCTTGATTTTAATGGGTCATTAACTAATTAGAACTCGAGTATGGTTAAAACAACATTTACCAACCACCTCAGTGAAAAAATACATGAATTTACGACGTAATACAAGAAAGAAATTTAAGTACATAACTTCCGCGAATTTCAAGTTGAAGATTTGTGTCAAGGACTTACGATGACCTTGTTGATACGTCTAAATTTGTAACAAATCTAGATGGTAGAACTAGATTATCTTCTCTGTTTTAGGCCTATTAGTTCTTACATTAGTTTTAAAGTTTTAGCTTTAGAGCAACTACTTTGCAAACGAAGTAAGAGAAATCTTTAAAAATAATCTGACGGGCTAAAAACTGAAGAGAATAACGCACGTCGAACAGAAGTCAGTCTATATTATGCTGGAAATTACAAACCTTGCGTGCTGATTACGCAGAAAACACGCGAAGTAACTGCCTTTTCGACCTTTCCACCGAAACTAAGTACCTTAGCTCGAACGACCTCCTTGTCTTGGACGGTGTCTTCAATCACGATGGCAAGGCGAGTCAATGGTTTGGGTAAATTCTTTTCGCGAATAGTTGGTTCCGATTTTACCGTTGGCTTAGCCGCTCCCGCAGGAATAATTCTATCGCATACATACAGGGGCGTAATGTTCATCCCATTTCATCATTCGTTTTTAACAAGGTGCCAATAGGTAAAACTATAATACACGAGTAAATCAACAATTCCTAAATTATCATAAAAAAAAATAGTGCTATCGTACTATTTTTTTAATGATGATTTCTCTATCTAATCTCTCGTACACGATCTCTAAAGACTCATCTATAAATAAATATTTTACCAAATACTGCGCACATAACTGGGCTGCAGGCATCATTACCTAAATCCATATCAGTAACATTTATCATGCTATATGGCCGCTAAAACCTACAACGGAACACATCGCGAAACACTCAGAGGGGTGTCGAAGATCTGCGCTGTAACAAATTAGATATTCGGAAAACAATTGCCTGTTTACTACGACTAATACTTACCGTTTTCCAACGTTTCCTTTTAAGAACTTGAATTCTTCCTTAAATTCCTTGGGCACGTTAATTGCGGAGCGTTTAGGACTGTCCGTCGTGTACGTACAAGATGTAAATTCGCTGAAGTCACCGCCACAACGATATTTGTTGTTTTTGAAACGGAAAGCCTTGTTACCGCATTCTGGGCATGGATCACAGACTCCAAAGAGGATGGCATCGGCTAACCTGAGAACGCACAACATGAATGAAACCATACAGAAAATTATTACTATCGATTTGCTGAAAATTGCAAGATCTAAATAGGCCTTTTGTTTTTAAGACATACAAACTGAGAAAAGCTTTTGCATTTTTCGCTAGGACTGCAGCAACTACTAAGCAGTACACGCATTCCACTTCCGTATACGGTGCATGGAAGAAGTACACACGCAAAGGTCGAAACAACACACACAGTTATTTTATAATCATTTTTTTTATCTCGAAAAGCATAATGTTGAAGCACTTTACGAATGAAGCTCAGAGTACTCGAACGAAGAAGTATTAAACATGACTTAGCGTTAGAATATGAATTGGTGTAACTTTTACTACTCACGCAAAGCTCTCAAATTTATCTGCAGCCTGGTTATTATAATTATCATACATCATAATCCGAGTAATCAAACGTAAACGAAAAACAAAATAATATGAATCGAAAAACGAGGACTTCTCAAACTGTATTTTTTATGCCGTTGCAACCATTGCAGCACAGCGAGGTGCGGATCGACAAGGGCAAAGGTAGGATGGAATAAGCTGGGGTCTCTTGGAAAAATAAAGTGCCCTGTAAGTCCCTGTAGATCCCTATTTTCATTGTGCATCTGCTAACGGGCTGATGGAAAAATGCGTAATTTAAACGTGTTACTTACACTTCAACAAGCCTGCTGATACCTTGCGGTATCTGCATGGCGTTGTACTCAAAGATCTCCTGGATCTGTCGTTTTGTCATCTCCGTCTCGAGCTTCTTCTGAATTGAGAAGAGTTTGTCACTCTGCTTTTTAAGAGCGGCCTCATCTGCTTTACTCTTTTTTGGGGTTGGCTGGTAATTATCGGCTCCATCAGCTTCATCCACGGATCTTTTCCTATACGATCATAAAAAGCACTTTTGTTCTTTTTTTAATTTAGGTAAAAGAAAGATGAATATGATCTGCACGCTCAGTAATCACTTGAGCAAAATAACACCTCGTATTAAAATTTTAAACTTGTAAATTCTGCGTTTTTTTTGTCCATCCGAACTTTGGATTGTTCAGATAGCTAAGGATGTGTCTTGAGAACTAAGTAAGCCAACTACCAACTTCAACCCAAGGACCCATCCAAGTGAGTACTGATTAAAAAATAATTAAATTGACTTTTCAAATTGGCCGATTTGACTTGAAATTAACAAAGAAATAGAT